TCTTTCCCTTCACACCAACATCCCTTATCAGACAGAAAAGTAAAAGCAATGTAAAAGGAAACCTTCTCTGTCCCCAAAAGATGTAATTTCTAATACCTCCCTGGAAGACAGAGACCAAATCTAGTTTCTAAAGCAGGCTCTTGCATGACAGTGCAGAGCGTTTACCATTTTGACATTGGGTTAGTTCAGTAAAACATTTATTATTAAGCAAAAAAAAATTATAAACAAGTTTTATAAGCATCTGGTAGAGGCCAGACATATGCAAACAGAAAACTATCTCTAACAAGCTAGAAGCCAAAAGGCTGGCATAAAAACTGGCAGTATTAAATTTTTATCTGGTTTTCACCTCTCCAAGCATCATTCTGACAAATTTTAGCAATTTGCATCTTCTTGTCCCCTATCCAAGATTCATACCTCACTGAGTTTCCGGTGTAGGTTCTGAAACTCACTGAGTTTCCTGGGAACAGTCCAGTTCTTAGTTTCAGCTCCACCAACTTCTTGTAAACTGACCATGACAGAGTAACAGGGCACTTGTTCTCCATTCTCTTCTAAAACCTTGTGGGGAACAAACCAACAGATAAGGTATACTGCCACTTTGAAAGCAAACAGTGGAACATTTGATCTGCCAGATGATTGACTTGCAAATTCAGTTGTCATGTGAGTCCCACACTTTTCTTACAGTTTGAAGGCTACACATGGGGCAATATCCTTAATGGACTAAATTTTACCCAAAATACTACGTCAGTCCTGAATCTGAATCAGTCCTCCAGCTAACCACTATTACACTTTACATACAGCTCTGCAATGCTGTCCATCAGCAATCACATCTCCCTGACACGTCTTCTTCAAGCAGCTGCATGTATTATTTCAGTGTATAAGGTACCTGCCATGTAGCTTTCTGATTGCTTACCAATACTCCATCTCTCCTATCTGCATTTTCCTGATTGTTCTTCCTTTACTCCCGGCCCTTCTTTCCCAGCTCACCCAGGCACCAGGCAGAGCAGCTCTGCAGCTGGGTCCTGCAGCAGCTGGTGCCGTCTCAGAGCAACTTCTCTGCTCACTTGAGCTATTCTGCATGCACAGACCATGTGGTATCCATGCAGTGTTTATTTCCGAGGGGCTCACAACTTTACAAAAATACTAATGAATCAAGCTGTACAACAACCAGAGGAAGGAGGAGTGATTAACCACATTGTGAAAATGGCAAAACGACAGCAAATAAGTTAAACGATTTTTCTTGAGACAATGGCAGCAGTGTGACCATATTATTTCTTAGTTTGATGAGCCACCCAGAATTTCATCCTTATGTCTTAATGGTAACAGATTTTTGTTTACTTATTTTAAGGAGACAGCTAAACAGGTTATGAAAAGCAAATAAGGGAAATGCATAAAATACTTCTTTTGGCCAAGCCAAACTCTCAAATGTTTGTTTTAATATACATGCAAATAACAGAAAGGCAATTATAAAATACCACTCTCACACAATGTTTTTGAGGAAAGTAATAATTTTTAAGCTTTTTGTATTTTTTTTTTAATATTTAACTAATCCAATTAGGATAAGAATAAACTTTAAAATTAATATAATTATGATACATTTTCTGAGAAGCCTGTAACAGTCTGACAACACTTAATGCTAGCAACGGATACTTTGATGAGCAGCTACATCACCATTGTAAAAGACACACAGCTAAAATGCATCTTCATATTTTTAGGCTGTTCAGAGCTGTACATGGAGAATACTCCCTGTGATGCACTCCTAAAGCTGCGCATGGACCACTGGAAAACCCAATCTGAGGCCTAGATTTCACACGTCTCTGTTAAAAAGCTGCAGCAGCACCTGGACAGAATACAAAGCACCAGCCTGGATGTCTGAAAGTGTGCCTCGTTCCCAGCACAGCTATTTCAGGAACTGCCTTTCTCCTGCCAGACTACTGCAGAAAGATGATTGAATAACCTCCAAAATGTAGGTCAGAAGGACCTGGCACAGAGGGACTGGGATCTCCTGGGACAGCTCCTGCCACGTCTACCCAAGCTAGATTGGATCTGTGTTTGTAGGCAACTCACAAACACCTCCTGGTAGCCGCTTTTGAAAAGTGGGAGATCAGTGCTGAAAACATCGATTGGAGTCATGCGTATCATGTTCCATTTGTCCCCAGGGCAGGGATTTGCACATGTACAGAGTCATCTGAACTGTAACTGTCAAGAGACAGTCATTCCCCTGGAAGCGTATTCTCAAATGGGAAGGCTTAGTACTCCTGTTATCAAGTTAGGTTCCATGTGCGAAATTCTAATTACTAGATGGAGGCAGATTACAACTTCCTTCAAATATCCACATGTAAATCTCTGAAAGTCTTCAGGATCTTCTTAAGAACATAAATTTTTTTACCAATTTAACTACTTGTGCGTTTGTTTTTCCAAATGGAAAACACACAGAAAAATGGGACATTAGGGGGGGGAGTCTTCTAAACCAGGAGATCTAGTCCTTTTCTTTAACAGGTACCATCTCATACAACTGCTATTATGAATTAATTTAAACTTTTGAAGCAATTCTTTTTTCATCCCTGTTATACTAAAAGTCTGCTTTAGACACTCACCCTGGTCAATCGCTTCATTGGAAGTTTCCTTTCAATTTCCAAACTGATTTCTCATTTGTTCCAACACCTCTTCACCCCTCCCTTATGTTTACCCTTATTGATGTGTTTCTACAGACAGCCCCATTCCTCTGAGTGTCCCTTTTGCTAAGCTAAGCAAACTAAAGTGCTTTCACAATCATTTCTCATGGGAGTTCCTCATTCAATCCATTCAAATCCACCCTTCTCAAACGCAATGGCCTAGCACCTGCAGAGCAACTCTAACACTTCCTCGTCTCCAATGGAAACTCCTCTCCTGATATATTTGAGGGCCACCTTTGCCTTTTTCACACCAGCAGCCCACGCAAGACAAACTGCACATCTGACAAGCCACCAGTGTACCTACAGCTTCTAGCCAAAAGGTGCTCCCACGGGTCAGAGCCAAAGCTCAGAGCTCCTGTGGAAGGTCGAACCTCACGTGCCACGCTGTGAGATTTCACCGCACATCTATTACTCCCATCCTAAAAACCATCCAGGTCTTTTTAAGAACCATCCAAACCCTCATTCCAGCTCTGATTCTTCATGAGCATAAACTCATGGTCTCTCACAATCAGTCCCTAGGATGGCATTGCCACAAGTCTCCTCCTCAGCCCTTTCTCAGCCCCTTTCCTCAGCTAACATGAGTCTTTCAGGTTATTCACTGCTACTTACCCAGCAAGGACAGAATCAGTCTTCAAGTACCTAAAGAGGCTTCAAGGTATTTTTTGCACTGGCAGCAACTCCATAGCCTCAAGACAATGTAAAGATTAACTATTTCGGAACTTACTGTCTACTAGCATGCCATAGACACCCAGTCCACAAAGGGTAAATACTTCTACCTTCTCCCTATGAAGCACAAAGTCCCAAAGTACACAGAAAGAGATATGAACAAGGATATCAGCACACCTACATCCATTAATAAAAACTGGAACACATACACCAGAGGTGAGCACCTCTTACCAGCGTGTGTGGTGTGGTAACAGTAAGAAACATTCAATGAAAAAAAGCCAAAACAAATGAGGAACAAATATTATTAAATATTTTCCAGGAGAAGCTCTAGCTATTAGCTGCAGTAGGTAAAATGTAAACTTAACATTAACAAAAACAGTAATTATGTTCAGTAAAGTAACAAGCTGCCAAGGAAAGCCATCGAATCACCTATTAAAAGCAGTAACAGGCTGGTCCAGACATCCATCAGGAATGATTAAACGTTAACAAAAATCAGTCCAGTCATTAAGCCAGTGAGGAACTGTATGACTCAACCAGAAACTTCCTTCAGTCAGAGCAGCTCTCTGAAACAGCTCACCCAAGACGTGCAGCAGTGACATATGGGCTAACCAGACCGCTGTTAAAAAGTCCCTTTTAAACATAGAAAGACCAGCACACCACCGGTTTCCTCAATTTACAGGAAGCTAATTTTCTTAACTTCCACTGAGCATAAACATCCTAAATTCCAATATATTTAAGCAAGACAAGCTTTTTTTTTCACCTTATTCATATCTACAAACTCCATTCCTTATGGAAGTAATAAATTTTTTAAAAGATGCTATGCTCTGAAAACAGCCTTCTTTCTTCAGAAGAGGCAGAACATCTGCTACAATACGAAAAGATACAAGACAAAAATCATTAAAGCAAGTAGAGCAGGTTAGGTTACGTAGCTGTAAGTTTTATACCTGCTGGAATGAGGGGAATATACCCGGCATGAGGAAGTGACTCACAGAATTAGATGAGCTGTTATCATGGGTCCCCTCATTCTGCACATTCCTACTGTCTTTTTTCAACCTCTAACAACCAGCCAAAACACTGAGTCTCCAAAGATGGTTTTATCAGAAATGCCAGTTATCAAAAGACACCTACAGGTGATTTTTTTTTTCATATTTCATTCACACAGAGATAGCGCATTTACATGACTAAAAACTATGAAGACTGAAAGATTCAAGCTAGGAGAGTAAAAAGAAGTGTGGACACTTATTTTTTTCAAGTATTAAGTAATTCTAATTTTTTATGCATTATCTACTTAACTGATTTAGTCAATCAGTTTAAAAGGTCGATGACAGGCCATTACACTTTCAATTCAAACTCTCTCGCAAAATCTACTTTTACTAAGCTTTTCTGCAAGAAACATAGGGCAGCCAAGTTTTTCTCTCTAAAACCAGAGTGTGACATTCTAGGATTAGCAACAGCATATTTTGCAGATGGGAAGACAATGTCACCTACTCAGGCCCCCTGAAATCATCAACTGCAGCCAGAACATTCCCAAGCAATTAATTAACATGGATAACTACAACATTAATGTTTTCTCCAGCCTACCCTTTGAAGCACAGAGCTACAAACAGCACAATTAATGGAAGCCTACATTTAATTATCTAATCCAGTACTACTTAGAAGTTACTAGTTAAGGCAGCAACTAATTAGAAGCCTCCCCCAACCTTCCTCTTATTTATCAGAACCACCTTCTTATCTTGTGATAAGGGAGATACTGGGCATTTCTGTATGGTGCCCCTTACAAGAAAGCTGCCGTTCTGTGGTTTTGCTGCATGTTATTGCTGTTTTTTAAAACCAGCTGTTTCCAAAATCTACAGAGACTTCTTAAAGACAACTTAAGAGCTTCACTGTTCTCAACTGTGTCACCTGCAAAGAGCATTGGAACAAAAACAAACCCAGATGTTTACACATTTAGAATCTGGTTTTTAAAATGGCATGTTAAGTTTTTAACCTGTTGCATTTATTTCTTCTTTTACAGAATCAGAATCATTAGAATAATCATTCATTCTACAATTGTCTGACTATGTCCAAACGGAAGAGCAGAACAAGACACAAAGGAAAAAGAAAAAAAAAAAAAAGGAAAACTTAACTTCAACTTACTAACAGATTTAAAGAACTTTCTTTCTGGGTATTCTAGTCCCTTGAAACTGTACTGCCATTAAATATAATAATTCAAAACACAAAAAGTGTAAGTACTGCATCTTTGAGACACAGCAGAGAGACAACTGCACCCAAGTATGATAGCATGGTAATATAACAAGAGACTGTTCTCATCAAAAACAATGCCACTAAGACAGCAAATTACCCAAGGCCAAAAGCAGTTCACGTAACACACAAGTATTTTTGTAACTCCATTACAACAATGTTTGAGGACTAGGAATTTTGTATATGCACCACAGTCGTCACTTGGGAAACAGAGGAGTTTAGAAGAGGTTAGAGTTTCACCCCCCCGGACAAGTAAATGTGAATTATACACAGTGTACACAAAGGTATAAGGAAAGTATATAGAGGTTTTTATTCTTTTCTTCATGGAAGTTTCAACTGACCCAGAAGATGAAAAGCCATAGAAAACCCCATACCTCGCCTGAGACAATGAAGGCTTTCCACATGCCAAGATTCTCACACCACCAGTCCGTTCTTGCAATGTGCAGCTGAAGGTCATTGTGCTCTCTCTCCATTAGAGTAATTTCATCCTTCAGCTTAGACACAATCTGTGGAGGAAGTTTATTGATTACAATTGGTAAGAAAAAGCTTGTGCAACATGTCTAGTTGTGTCTTTAGGGACACTAATTGAGAAAGGAAAAAAGGTACAAAAGCAAGGAGAGAAAGAACAATTCACATGGGAAAAGAATTCGTAAGTGACAGAATCTGATGCCTCAAACTTGTAGAACACACAATAATCTTAAAAGGTCAATCCTGATACTAAAATAAAAACAAATTAGAAAATATACTACTATCACACTATCAGCATAAAAGGCACTTTACATAGGATTATATATTATACATTATATGTTTTATATAAGCTTGAAATTACAATTACTGAAATATGAACTACTGAAGACATCCTCCTTACCATTTTCAGATATACATGATGCAGACAAAGAACCTGGGAATAGATTTAATTTCTAGGAACTTAGCTATGTTCACAGTCACTCAGGAAGTTACCACTTAATTCATTTTAGTTTTGGAAAGAGAATGATTGATTATTGTGGAAAGCACACATTTAAGATGTTCTCCTCAAGACACAGCTCCCCATCATAATCTCATAACGGAGAAATAGTGTATCTCATCACATCAGCAAGAAAATAAGTAACTATACATACTGCTAGGAGACAGCATGAGAAGAAAAGGTGGAAGCATACATAAGATGAGACATTAGAAACACAGCAAAAGAAGGTAGCACTTTTTTTTAAAATATGATATACCACAAAGTCAAATTTATGTCTTAGTTGTACAACTTCCACCACAAGTGATATATCCTATAGAGCTACAGTAATTCTGTCTTTTTTCAGAATTTGTCTCATGTAAGATGTGAAATATTATCTACGTGACAGACATAAAACAACCTACTACCATATACCTTAAAAATTAAAACTAGAATGCTACAGAAATAAATTATATAGCCCAACTCACGCATACACAAGCACACCCACTTTTGTTTAGTACTTCTAACTCTTTTTGCCCATGGTACATATTTTAACTTAAAACCTAGTTGGTTATAAGAGCATCTCTTACAATTTCTCAAAGTGAGTTTTATGTTCACTCCTGGTACAGGTCCACTGGAAGTACAGAAGATGTGAAGAAGTTAACATAAAATCCCTCCAACTTCCACACAATTCCTGATACAGACGGAGGCATTTTTCCCTTCAGTAAAGTCCATTTAATTTCAACAATTGTGTCACGCAGTTTTATTTGAAAATATAGCTTAGCAAGCACTAGAAAGTGGGGAATGTTGAAGTTTTACCCTGTTACTGAGGACGACTGAACTCTAGGGAGAATTGGTCCCTGCACACCTACTGTGGTTGCACAGGATGGCAGGAGACTGCACTCACGGACCTGAAGGAGACAGCCGCTGAGATTTGGGCATGAGACACACACTGGAGGTGGCACCACAGTCACACATCTCCAAAGACCAAGCTGTCTTCTACGACAATGGGCCTTGTATGCCAGAGACGCTGCCTCAGACTGCTTGTCATTTTTTCATGCCATCTTTGCTACTCCTTATATTCCACAGAAAGAACTGAAATAAGACTTCTCCCTACAGAGCATTTTGTTTTCAAGCTAGCAGCATTCCCTGTGCAAGACAAATGAGCAGTTTTCTTCCCTGACTGACTGGCATCTGAGTTCCATGGTGCTAGAAGCCGACTAAAGATGTACACACATGTTTTGTATGGGTCTCGCAGCAAAGGTGTTTCAAAAAGAGAAAACAAATCACTCAGGAACAGCTTGAGGTTAAAAAAATTAATACAAAATGTGCGTGACATTCCCCTTCATATGGCACAAAACTGGGGAATTTCTAGAAACTTTTTTTTTACTCCATACAACCAAGAACCAAATTTTTACCTGTCACATCTAGACGAGAAAAGAATAAAGTCCCTGTGACAAGGTGCTCTCAACACTGTTAACCCTAACTATCCATTTAAAGGCTCCGCAGATAAATGCTACTGCAGTAATACAAGTGTAAAAGAAAAAAAAAATAGAAGGGACACATCCATGCTCTTACTACTCCAAACAGTAGTGGCTGGATGACAGCCAAGAGGTATTTGCAGCCATTTGAGGCCACACACAGAGCAGGGCAGAGCAGCTGTGAGCAGGACACCCCAGAATAGCTGCAGACACATTTCCAGTTGTCTGCAGTAACCTCTGGCAGAAGGGAGATGTGGAAGGGACAGAGGGAGTGAAGCTAGCCAGGGTGGCCTCCAACACTACTGTCCACATCTTTCTCTTAGCGGTAGCTATCTCCAGAGCTGAGGCAGCAAAGAACGAGGAAGGTGTCATCTTCTGTTCAGACCAGCATCTTAGCACTTACCCTGAGTGAAGGAACGAATGTAAGAACTCAGGTCCCAATAAATGGCTAATGCCCAGCTATATTTTTGTCATCTCAAGCAGGAGGCCACTTCAGGGGGACACCCTAACTATTGGTTTGTCTCACCCACCGCCTACCACTTGCAGCCAATCTCATTACACCTGAAAATCTTGGCCCAGCTGCATCTGAACACCAGTCCTGTAATATCATCTTTGGTAGCAATGCAAATGAGTTGGCCTAAGCCAAATGCCAATCACTTGCTTCTGCCCGAATATGCTTAACTGTTGCGCTTTGCAAAGAGAAGATGTTTTTTATTTATTTTTTTTTTTATCCAAGCCCAGGGAGACAAAGTTTCACATCCCTCAGAATTTGTAGTCTCATTAAAGCGTGCGCTGCAGATTTCTCCTAGCTCCTTATAAAGGAAATCAGTCACTGTTATAGGTTTGGGGGGTTTTTTCCCCCCCTTTATTTGAGCAAGCCAGTCACAACTGTAGAGATTATGAATTTGTGCTGTGCTATTTCAATGCCAGCAGAGGGAGCAGAAGTTAACTAGTACATCGCTACACTGCAGTGCTGCAGATACAGCAGGGACATGAAACCAGCTGCCATACAGAATTGCACAGACATACAGGTGGGCAGAGATGTAAGAAAGAAACACTATGTACCACCAACAAAGCAGCAAGACCACTGGGATAGAAGTCGTTATTCTATGAAAAACAAAGAAATATAAATAATATTTGCAATTTTAGTTACAATATATTTTAAAAATTGGAAAAAATAAAGAATTAAAACTAAGCTCTGATTTTAACAGGCTGATTGAAATAGCAATCTGACCTCTCCAAAAAGAACCTCAGACAACTGGATATTACGTAAACACACACATAATATTTAAAAAAAAAAAAAGACTGAAGACACTAAAGGTGCTTACCTTTTTGTCGGGTTTTGGTGAATTACATATGGAATTTAGAGCTTGTTTCTTATATGCAAGCTTGTCATTTAGCTGGCGAAGTTTATTTGCAGCATAACTGGCCTGTTCATTAATTCCTGTACTGCATTCTTCAGTAGCTTCTTCACAACCTTGGCTCTACAGAGGAATAGAGGATGGGAGTAACTGCATCACTAATATGAAAAAGGAGACAGTTATTGTTTGCTCCATAAGCATTTTATGTATAAGAACACTTATTCTTGATATAGATGAAAAAGTATAACAGATTCTAACAGATATTCCAAACATCAGATCCAACACGAAACATAAGTCTGATAAAAAAAAAACAAAACACAACCCTAACAGACAAAGCCTCATTACCATTTATACTACAGCTCTTTGGCAACTCTGACCAACTGTGTAAAACGACCTTCAAGCTAAGGCTTTGGTGCAAACGAGAGGCAGAATCAACGTTTATTTGAAAAGCAACAACAGCTTAGTAGTCATGATCAATATTCACAGCCAGATAGAAAACCAAATACTTAGCTCTGAGCTGAAAGATAAGGGGGGGTGGTAGGGGGAGGGAAAGGAGAGGGGAGGGACACAAAACCAGAAAAACACCAGTTCTAACAAACACTCCTGCCTCCCACAAACCTTCACAAAACAGATTTATCAGCCTGCAGAACGATCTAAACCAACTCCTTTCTCTCATAAACAGATTTTACTACTGTTTTTAGAAGCATTAATAAAAATGTGTTAAAAGCACATATGCATTAAACTCATAAATCAATTTCATACATTCATTCAGACAAACCAATAGCTTTTTCTATCTTTTGTACTACAGGCATGCAATAAAATAGAAAACTTCACATCTTTCAGTGACATTCTCTTTAATATCTTTTGGCATTTGCCTCAGCCTCCCCTTTCTTACTGTACTTCCCCAAATAGGCACTAAGACCTTGAGATCAAGGAAACAGCACTGTGATGTTACCGTTGCCATGTTCAAAGATCTCTCAAGTCTGTTTGTGACTGAATATATCTCATCTGTGGGAAGCTATGAATCTAATCTCATGAACAAGAGTTCTGTGTTATTTAATGATATTCCCACTAGGGAAGCTGTATCTTTATATAATTAACAAAAAGCTAACAGAAGGAAGGCTCATACTCTACTAAATTCTGTGTGTTTTAGAGGAGACAATCCTACTGTAAATTCTGCAGTATTGTATTTAACATCTTAGTAAAAGAAGTCTGAGAAGGGATACAGTAGGAACAATAATCAATCTCCTCAGTGTGATCCTCATATGAGAAGGTAACATAATGCAGAAATCACGAGTTTTTGTCTAAAAAAATCCATGCCCTTTTCCAGCTCTGCATTTGCCTGCTATTTGGCTGAGCAAATAACATTCGCTCTCTGCCCCGTCCTTTCTTTCTATTCTGCATGGACTATAAACTCCTTGTGTACAGCAAGCTCATGGAAGTCTTGTCTCCTGGCACTACAATAATACAAATAATTATTAACACCACTGGATGTTATTCAAAATGCTATTAAACAGAACCATCTAAAAAAACCCCTTATACTTGTTGGAAAGCACAGAGGTCAAAAAGAATCAAAAATGCTATTTTCAACACTGAAGAATTAAGACTTTTCATATGAAGTTTGCTTCTAGTAATCAAAGGATTGCAATTAATTACAAATCAGTAAGGCTCTGTTCCCAGAAGTAGACTACATGATTTCTCTGTCTTTAACATTTCAGACACTTACAACAAAAAACACTGCTGAATCACTACGTTTATCACAAAAATGCTAGAATTATAAGGTATCAAGTTATCTGTATTCAAATTATCAAATTTATCAAATAACCAACCAACACAACACTCAAAGCTGAGATCATAAAGGATGATGCTATTTTCCCCGACTGCTAAACTGATAATGACTTCTATTTCTGTGAGCACTGCAGAACACAAAATTTGGGCCTATTTTAATGATCTGACCCACGCAGCACCAACGCAACCATCAGACCCTCTTTCTTCAAAGTGCTGAATGCAGGCACAGCTTGCTTCTGTATTTTTACATCTACTCATGACCTTTCAAAGGAGGTTTGTTCAAGGAGCAAAAAGCAATGATGGATTGGAAGGAAGAAAGAGCTTGTTCCACATGCAGTAGAACCAGCAGAGTTTGGCCTTGCCCTAATTCCTATCCTCATTTGATTTTCTCATGTTTAATCAGGGCTTAGCCTTTAGGTTAAAAATAAGGAAAAACATCAGATTTCTCAGCTGTAGTTTCCTATACATAGGGAGGGAAAAAAAGCAAACTTATTTCACCAACATTTAAAAGCCCATTGGAAGCTTCAGAAAAAATTATTTCTTATAGTTTTTATTTCACCTCAGAGCCCCTGAAACATAGCACAGACTCATTAGAATGCTCTATCCAAGAGACGCCCTAACAGTATACGTGACTTAATTTGTTGTTAAAAAATTAAAAATAAAAAAAACGTTAACCATATAAGCAAACTTAGAAGTCTATTAGTCTTTAAGGTTTCACAGCAGATGCGGCCTTCAAATCTGGCACATAGATATCCAAGGATTCAGAAGAAGGACAGATAATAGTGATATCAAAAATCTCATTTTTCAGCAGCTATAGTAAATGTTATCTCACAGAGGACAGCTAGCCCTGAAGTGTTGTGTCAGTTTTCTTGAAGAAACGGTTATCTATATTAGACTCTGAATAAAATATAGGAAGAGATTAAAAGGCACAATGTTTAATACTTGGAAAGTTCTGGACAAAATCAGTAACAGTCTTTTCTCAAAGTCACCATGATGGCAAACACAAGGACAGAAAGTCTTTGAAGCAACTACCACCCTCAACACACAGCTGAGTTAGCAGTGAGGAAAGTAGAAAAGGTGTCTTGAATCTTTTATCAAGGAAACGAATGCAGGCAGAAACAAACAACAAAAAACTCAGCAATCTCCAAAAGTTCATACTGGAAGTAACTCACAACAGCTCATCTCTGCAGATTTGCTGATATACAGACTATGGAGACTATGATAGCTCATCAACAGAAACAAGTTACATTTAAGCAGTAAATACAAAAGCCTCATCTTCTGAAAAATTGTTTCTAAATAGGAGAACATAGATCAGCACCTCCAGATTCTGCTTCTTATTTGTCCATTTAGATCCAGCTTTACACAAATTCTTACACTTCATTTTGTTCTGAGCACGTTCACATGTAAAATGAAGATATTAATGCTATCCGAAGTGGCAGCCTGACTGAAAGATGCTCAGTAGTCCGAGAGATGCTCTTGTCAAAATGTTCTTGGATAACTGTAACACAAGGTCCCCCAACATGACCGATTTAGAGAAACCAATGAAAAAACCTGCCCAAGAGGGCTGCTGTTAGGTTACTGCTTATGACCTTTTGAATGCTCTGGTTTAGTATTTCCAGTTCTAGTGATATTTTAGTCAGTTTTATCTTCCAACATAAACTATTAATTTACTCAATACATTCATTTTAAAGGCACCAAGATTATATTTTTCATTACTTTCTCTCCTCTTTTGCACAACTTTTAATATGCATGCACAGCGGACAGGGACAGATGCTGTCTAGGCAGAAACCTGCTGAGGTTTCGGCAAGATTTCCTTCATTGAAAAGCAGAGCAGCTGAGCCTGCATGAGGTATGTTTTGCATTCACTGATACTAAGGAGCATAGCAAAAGATATGGAATAAAAAAGGCTTGAAGATCTGAAATATGTACTTCAACTACAGTTTAAGTAGCCAGTCACTTTGTACCATTTTTGTTTCAAAGAGCTTGAAAACACACTGGGTTTACCTGATGAAAATACAAGAGTGATGATACCTACAAATACATCAGGGAAAAAAAAAAAAAGTAGTCCAAAGCTCAAAGACAGAAGATGCCGCTACATGTTTTACTCAGGATCGTCTTCAGATCACCTTAAATAACAGTGAAAGTCCATGTGACTCACCACTTCATCTTTGTCCTCAGGATTTAGCTGAGCAGAACTTCTTTCTTCTTCCTTCTTGACTGATCTCTCATATAAGTCACTGACAATGAATGAGGGGTAGTATCTGTCCTTTAGGGTTTCATAAACATCTGCCTGAATTCTGTAGAATACTTCAATGCCTTTATTTCCAACGAGACTTTGCTGTATTTCTTTATACAGGGATTTTTCCACGGGTATTTCTCTGCTTTCCACAAAAAAATTCTGATAAATTTCACTCACCAGTTGAGGTATTTCAGCCTGGGTAGCAAGGAGGGAGAGAGAGGGAGAAAAGAATAATTAAAAAATGTTACAAATATCAGGATGACTCAGGGCCCAGGTGCATAATTTGAAGGACGATCAAGCTAATTTCATGCCCAGATGTGTGAGAACACATCTGTGAATGTGTTACTGAGATCAAGCACTTTGCCTGAGCACCTATGCTAAGCAGTCAATTTCACAAGATAAATATTGTTATTTGTTAAGTGAAGAAACAGTTGTGCTCTAAAATTATCATAGCTTCCACATCCACTGCTTTTGAAAGTATGCTCCAAAGGCTGGTATCAAAAGGAAAAAAAAAAAAGTGCTAGAGCAACATTGTGGTCACCATTTTAAGTTCAGATTGTATCAGACTGTTCAGCCGTATTGGCTCTCCCATCTTCTGCTGGATAGGATCAACTCACTTTATATGTGATTATAATCAATTTTTGAGGCAGAGAAGAAAGAAAAAAAGAAAATAAAAAGCACACCTCAAGAGACATTTACCCATACACGAGGCCAAGTATTTCCACTGAGCACAGAACAGTGCACAGAACTGAACTTTGCAGTAATGAACAGGAAAGAGAGGAAGAAACGCAGCACAGCACACAATCATCACTCTGAATTATCATCTCTCTAAACTGACCTTCATTAAAAAGGTTTTACTCACTCCCTTAGTATGGCACAATGTATTTGCCTGCTTTATGTGACAATATCACAGCCCATGGCTGCATGACGCTACTTTTTTGTAATCAAAGCTTCCTCGGTATTGGCAGACAGCCCTTACATTCCATGGAGCAGCAGGAGCACAGTATGTTAGAATCTCTTAAAAAAATGGGAAGTGTTGAATAATAGCACTACACATATTGTTCTATAAGCAAGGAGAGAAGTCACAGCTGAAAGGTCACAAAATGATTTATAGCATCTTTTCCAATCACAAGCAGTTTGCAAATCAAAACTGGTTTACACAACTCTCTCCACAATGCCTGACAAACCCTTTCTATCAACACTGTCTAGCCTGAGTTGGTTATTAGCCATTTCTTCAGATCGTATTAACAGCTCACTACTCATGCTCCACAATTTACCACTTCGGTTACAGGATGTTATTTGTGTTTTCCAATGGACTAGAATCTTTTTACATAGGAGAGTAATAAAATTACAGTGAATAAAAAGTTAACTGATACTTAATAATGAACCTCGTATTTCATGCTATGGTGAATCCTGAAGGTTTAAAACAGTTTCCCCAAAAAAATCCACCCCACTGCTCACAAACAGCAAATTTGTCCTCTACATTTTTGCTCTGCACCATTGCACCAGGGTATTTCTTGCAACTTTAAGTGGTATTTCCTATCCTTGTTTCAGGGTTCTCATTCCCACTTTATTTTAGTACAAATTACAATACAGCATTGTTTTTTCCCCTCTAGCAGTAGTGTGGCATTCTTAGAGAAACTTAGCTGCTTATACAGCAACAGAATAGGGAGAGGAAGAGGTCTTTTAAAGCAAAATCTCTCTGTCAAAAGGATTTAAAAAACATATACACAAATTTTCATCGTTTTGGATTGAATGGGCTACCTGTAATAGGCAAGATGAGACGTTTATGTATAGACTATCAAACAGTAATGTACTTTGAAGTTTCACATGAGCTGATATAACTAAAGCCAATATATTACTACAAGTTTTTTCTTTGGTGGAGGGGGAAATAATTCTACTACTTTTGCACATTATGTATCCTTTTTGTAAAAAGGTCATGTTGCTACACAAAACAACAGTAAACCATAATCAAAACAGTCCACAGTTTTTAACGGCCATATTATCCCCATATATTGACACAAAGAGGTTAAAAAAACCTGAATTGCTTAGCACCCATCCTACACTATTGCTATTTTAAAAACATAAATACAAAGACATTTCCTAACATCAAGATCACAGCAAGCAGAGATTCCAGTTAATGTACAAGCCCCATGGACTTGCAATTTCTTCCACCTTGTTAGCGTTCCTCAGATACTCCACAGACTCCCAAAGACCGATCAAAGCCATCTTGTCCATCCTTCCCATGTAGATTCGGAAGTGCTCTCGGTATGAAGAGTTGGCCAAAATTTCTTCAAACTGAAGAATCTGAAGAAAGTAAAACTAAGAGTAAAACCTGGGAAAACACCCAACTCTAGCTTCTCTCCATCCTTTATGGGGAAAAAAAAATCTTTTCACTTGATGTGCCCTCAGAGCACCATGCATCCCATAAATATGTGAACTAGATTCAACTGCACAGACCTTCTGCAGTAATAGTTTTGCTTCATTAAAAAAAAAAAAAGAAATATGAGTTTTAAGTACTTAGAAAATAAATGCATCCATGCTCCTACCAGATAGAAAACGTTTCCACATGTTTTCTGTCCAGGAGGTAAGATTACATTTAAAAGGACTAAGATGGCACTCCAAGTCATTCACAAAATGCTATTGCCAAAAATTTAGCTTCGCATGTTCCTGCAAGGCAGAGAAGCTAACTGATCTATTCTTTGCTTGATTCAAACAAAGAGTAACACCAGCAGTTTCCATGCCACAGGCCACAGAACTTTGAGAGTTATCTCAGTTATTCCCAGGGACACAGAAAAGACACACCCTGGCAGCTAGGGCATTTGGTGGACAGTTCCCATTAACGGAGTGTTACTGAAAAGCATCTATTGGAAATACACCCAGAGAAGAGTGCAGGCTGTGATATAATGCTCAGGACTCTTCCTGAGATGAGAGAGGAGGACGTACATCAAGCAGAAAGGGAAATGAAACACACTTCCCACACCCAAGCAGATGCTGCAGACACTAAACCGTTGGATCAAAAACCCATTACATCACCAGGAATGCAAATACACCAGAGTGGTCTTCGTTTCTTGCTTTGTACCTCAAGACACCAGTCAACCCACACCTTTTTCTTCAAAAACAAAAGCAGGTCCTTAAGCACTGTGGCTAATGAACCTTAGCTTCCTGTGACTTTGCATTTTATAGCAAAGATAATTTGATATGGAGCAAGATGTGAATTCCAACTGAGACTGAAGCATTAATAATTCCTCTAATATGGGTTTTCCAATACCTAATAATAGTACAGTTCAGGTCATGTATCAGCATGTCTCTCTCTGGGAAGGCCACCTATTTTCCTAAACATCGTACTTGTGAGACTGTACCACCAAGTGACATTTAGGAAAAACAGTTTGCTGGACTCAAGCTGTATGGGAGGAAACCACATACACATGCATGTACACAACTACTAGCACAGGTCACTTCCTTAATGAATCAAGCTAAAGAAGCTTCTTTAAAAACTGTCACCACCTCTGTTTTTTCTGAAACAGGTCCGCCAAATTTTGGGCCATGTTAAAGTAAATTACGTTTGTCTCAGCTGAAATACTCATTTTCATCTTCAGAGTTCCTCATTGACTGTCATGTGCCATTCCTCTCTTCATCCTTTACCATACCAATATCAGCTGGATATGGCTTGCTCTTAGCTTAAGAGCTATTCATGTATATGAACATAAATTTCTGCCTTTCAGAGCTCACTCTGTAATCCTCATTGAACAGCACAGAGAAGCTTGCTGAAGCTAGGCTTATTACAGAAATGGTGACAAGACTGTCAAAAGAGCAGAACACAGAGACGACATTTCAAAGGCCAGTCTGTGTTTTAGCCTCACTGCTGTGCATTATCATACTTTCTATTCAATCACTTGATCAAGGACAATAATTTAAAATAAAAGCAGAAGAGGGTCTTCCAGCCTCTTGAACAGAGATCTTCACCACTTCCAGGACTGGCAGCTCTGTAAATGACAGCAGAAGTAATAAATCACTCACAATGGAGAGCACGTGCCATCACTTCTTGAGCGAGAGGTCACCTTGGTCTCTATGCCTCTATTATCCAAGATAATCCCACCCAGGCTGCCAGCAAGGAGTGTAATTAACAAACATTTCCTCTCAAAAGCAATTGTAAGTGCTGCTGCATGGAGTAAGGCAAGCACAACCATCCCTCTCACCTAACAAAGGGCCCATTGCACAGGTGGTGCCTAATTAATTAAAGTGAATTAAAACAGTGGTGCCTAATAATGCTGTTACACAAATCTCCCAATAGTTCCTTGCAAGCTGAAATGCTTTAACAAAATAACTTAGTGGACAGAAAAGCTTATTTAAACTTCTCTTGCAGAAATGAGACCTCACAATTATTTTAAAGTTTTTGTTTGTTTGTTTAAGACTTGACCATCCTGGAATTACTGAACACTGTACTATAAACATTATTAAGACTTCAATGACAACAATGATGGACAAAAGAGGTTTTTAGCTTTGAGGTGGTAAATTATCATAAAATACATGCAATCCAAGAAATATTCTATGGAGGATCCTTCCATCCCTGATTTGAAGAATGAGATTCTGGAGTAATTTGTAATCCTCAGCAACAGATCATTTTATGACTCAGTATCACCATGGATTAGAGTACAAAGCTCTAAGCTATGTTGGCACATACGCATGCATTTGGGCATGTGCACGCTCTCAAATCTAATACCCAGTTATAGCAGATATAATCTTATCAGCTTCAACAGCAACTCTTCAAGTCCTTTTAATTCGAGACCAGCTTCCAGGTTCAGAAAAAAACAGCAGCTTTACTGCTGCCACATCCATTCCCTACTCCAACAGGAAAGTAACTAATATACCACAGCTGGTCACAGGCTCTGCCAAATACTAGGATACTAGGAAGGGATTAGATTTTTATTTTTTTTTTTTATTTCCCAAGCAGGGTGCTTTAACCAATACCCCCAGCATACGCACACAGAATAGTCTTGTTCTTGGCCCTACAAAGCAGAAACCTGGTCTTGGGAAGTCCCTAAAGATAGTCACAGCCCCTCTCTGGAGAGGAATGTAAAACAACAACTTAATTTGGAAGGGCCTGTATAGGCACCAGATATGGCACAGATGCATTGTACTGTATTTCTTTGCAACACACCAGGCTCCCATTCGCTACAACCACATTGGCCTCTAATGAACAACCACAATACAGCTAGTAACGGCATTGCAGGTCATGGTGGGGTGGACAGAATTTGGGTCAGTAGTGGAGGTTTTCTGCTAGCACAATGGCACACAGTCAGACTGAAGGATTTATGTTTTAATTTGGGTTTTCTTCTTTTTTTTTTTTTTAGAAAACAGGAGGAAGAGGAATGCAAAAAAAAAAATCCTGGAAAAACGTGTCTCCTTCCAAGCTGCGTTTTAAAAACCATTCTAATGTTCTGTCTGTACATTGACTAAAATTGAAGCATATATTATTATTTTTTTAAAAGAGGCAAGTCATCAAAAGGATATCTTTGTCCTATACAGCAGTAGCTGAACCAAATGAAATTATTAGTTACCTGTCAGGAAGTATATACTACATAAGGTACCTGGATATTTTACTGCACATACACCAATCGAAAAATCCCTGCCTTGAAACTCACGTGTTCATGAACATACTTCTGTCATAAGACACCCCATCTTTAGGCAACGGGAACAACAATTTACACTTCCTTTCTTTATATCCCCAAATTCTGTACCATGAGGTATCCTGACATAACGTGATCTCACAACCTGAAGCTCGGAAACCACAGTGAAAATCTGATCAGTCACAAGTTAAATCGGCACCTATCCATGGATGTGGTAGAAGTAAAGTCTTCTTCAGGAGGTTCAACTTAGTCCTCATCGGTAGGATTTTGAACATGAACTGCCTGTGCCTCAAAATACACTCAGATGGTTTCCTTGCTATTTCACAGCTAGTCAAGGATTGGATCCCCAGAGCTCCTCCTACCACCTCTGGTTACAAAACAGCTCTACAAAAGAGATGCTGTGACTCCACACATCAAGTCTCACAGATGTGGTGATGTGGCTGTTGTGCTGACCACAGCAGATCAAACAAATGGTTTGCTGAATAAACACAGACAAAAAGAACTCAATTAATTACTGCAGTACTGTGCAGGTAGTTTCTCAGAAAAAGGACCAAAACTGCACTGACCATAAGCAGATTAGAAGAGATACTTTACATATTACACTAATTCAAACTGCATTTTCTCTGAAAGTAAATCTAACACCCAAGGCAGAGTACAAATCACAGAATCACAGAATCACAGA